TGGTCATCGCATATCATCTCGAAGTCACACAAAATGGTATTTGATTTGCATTTGACTTGATTTGAAGAATTGGTGTTTGAATGGATTGAATGATTAATTGACAGAAAATGGATGAAATGAAGAGAAGAAAATTGGATCAGAAGAGGAGTGACACCAGAAGTGATGTGAACATTGAGACCAAAGCGGCGCCAGAAGTGAAGCAAACAGTGAAACGAAAATTAGACACAAATTCAGATGAAATAACGAGTAAAGTGTCTAAAAATACATTTGATTTCAAAGCTCCAGAAGTAAAGAGCGAATCAATGGCTGTATTGATGGAAACGAACGAAGATTTTGTGAATAAATCGATGACAACGAGTGATGTCCAGCAATCAGGTCTTCCGAACGATTTCTTCGACGACAACAAACAGATGTCAGCAAAGAGTGAAGAAACTCGTGAATCAATTGATGAAGAAATGGAAACCAATGACGAGTCGAAAGGTCTGCCGAAAGGGTTTTTTGATGACCCGGTTATGGACGCGAAGGCCCGCAAAGTGGTGTTTAAAGACCCTATGGATGAACAGTGGGAACAGTTCCAGAAAGTGATTGCAGAGGAGAATAATGTTTCCGAGAATATCATTGAGGAGGACATCGAAGAGCTACAAATGGATCGCAATCTGGAAGAGATTGAGGAACAGATCGCCAATTGGATGAAAGTGAATGAAATGCAGAAAAAGGCGGAACTCATTCACAGCCATATTGTGAACACTAGGGATACTGCTATGAAAGAAGAGGACAGTGACTCGGATGTGGACGAACACGACCTCAACGTCTTCTCCAACTGGAGGTCTCGGACACCACTTAACTCTAATAAATGATCATTTTGTGCACAAACGTTGCCAAATAAATACAATACCTTTTCGTTTCATGTTTTACTCTTATTTGATTGTGATGTGAGAATTGACTTTATTTTATATACAATATTATTAATAAATTTAATATTTTTCAATTGTGTTAAAAATTGTTTTTATTATTTTAATTTTATCAGGACTAATTTTATGAACTACCGTATAACATAAAACTAGTATATGTTGAGTAGAATAGAAATGTATAATAAATTCATGATTAGTAATCATTGATTACTGACTCGTAAGTAAAAATAATTTGAAAATATCGATGAGTGCGGTATTCAGTACAGGTAATTTAAATTTAATATTAAATAAGCAATATTTATCTGCATCTTTAATATGGTATTCGTGTATTTTGTCATATATTATACTAATACCGGATAATATAAGCGATAAATAATGCAGATTTTTTTGGGGCTTCAAGTTGAAACAATATTAACTCGTATAAAATATTATTTTTAGGGTAATATCCATTAATATTTTATATGAATGAATAAAATACTGCATATAACAATTAGTGAACAGCAATGTTATTATGTTATTATATAAATTATACAGTAGTTCTCCCATTAAATGATTTTATTTCTGTCCAATCAGTTTATGTATTTTATTTATGTTATTAATTTCAACACAATTATGGAAACAACGAAAGTCATCAAAGTTTTATCAATCATATATCAAATAATTAATATCTTGAGCAATGATAGTTAGGTTTGTCTTTTGGTCAAAGAATTTGTTCAATATCAATTTCAATACAATTCTACAATTTTAACATTTCATTTCAATGTAAAAAAGTCTTAATACACTTTTTATATTCTATATTAATATGTTTAGATTTTGTCCTAATTTTTACGATAATTTATACAACAAATTAATAAATAAGTTTTAATCCCCAAAGTTTAAAAATCATTAATTAAATATTTAGAAATTGAAAAATAACTTTTTAATCAATTCGTTCAATTAAACTATATTTATTAAGTTTATATTTGCTAATTTTAATCAAAAGAGCGTGAGAATAGTGTTTTGAATTTATTTTATTTTTGTTAAACAATATATCACTTAATTAATTACAGGAATATTATTGCATCGATTTTTGTGATGTTTTACACATAAATATTCATAACATTAGATAATGTGCTCCAAAATCATAATTAAATTAATAGAGAATAAAATTAATTGTTATGTTATAATATAAACATCCAAAAGAAAATTTAATTTATAGTCTTGTCATATTTTGTGTGATTTTACTTAAAACAAAAACTGTTTAAATTGTTATAAATTACAAATTCATTACAGAATTATTTCGTAGTAATCATTAATAAATAATTTTTATGACAATTGTATTTATAAATAAGGTTTGTTAAAATTAAAACTTATATACTCTTTTTAAATTGTGTATATAAGTTAGAAAACGGTGATAAAATTTTGAGCCAGCTCACACATTCGTGATTTTTGTATGTGTTATACAATACAATAATAACTAATTATTCTGTATTTAATTGAATGATAATTTTTTAAATTTCGACTTTGAATTTGGTAATTCATAGACAATCATCATTTGGTTTTTGTATTTGGTTTTCTAAATATTTTTGTTTCGTGAGCATTAAATTAAATCAATTTTTAGATATTTATTTCATTTGTAATCAAATTTATTTAATCAATGAAAAGGTTTGTGAAAAAGAGTGCAGAAATGTTTGGTTGAATAGAGAAAAGGTTTACATTTATATTAAATATAATTATAGTAATAGAGAGTGTGTGTGAGAGAGACTGCATATATTTTACAGTAATTGAATACTTTTTCAAAAAGTATTTGTAAATTAATTTTTATTTTTGTGGTGCGAATTCAAGTTGTAGTAAAAGTGACAAAAGATATTTAAGGTAAAGATACAGGTAATGATTAAAATTACAGGTAATTGACAATAAATCATATGTTATTCTGTTATCAATGTGTATGAAGAGATGCATAATATTTAAAATTATGTCAAAATTGTCTCGAAAATTATTGACTACTAATACACTTAACAATTGTTGTACAGTATATGTTATGTAAGTTAAAAATCTATTGTTTGATAAATATTTTTAAAATTTCGCCAAAATTGTAAATTTTATGCAACTCTGCAGTGATTTTATAATTAATTGATAACACATACAGAATATTCTCTGTATTAGAGAATCCAATTATTGAGTGAAGAGAGAGTATTGTATTTAAAGATATAATTATTCATTTTTGTTATCATAAAGTGTTTCCGAAGTTAAGTCTAAATTTGTTTCATAAGTATTTAAATTAAATTTTTATTCAAAACTATTTTAATTAGTCTTTTGTTTGGAAATAGTTTCTAAAGATATTCATAGTTATTGGCACTCGTTCTCATTGGCACGACTTATGTATGACTTATATAATCCTTTTGTTTCCTCTTCACCTCCCTTTCCATTTCATTATTTATTTATAAATAATTTATTAAATGTATTATTCGTCTTAATAAATGTGTAAATAATTTTTAACGATAAAACGATTGATACAATTAAAGCATTTTCAAAATTTCCCTTATAAATACGATATGAATTCTGTATTTTGTGTGAGAATTTTTAATACAGTATTTATTAATTAATTTTCACAATAACTTTATCATCAATGATATGTATGTATTCATACAATTTCGCGTTTTTCAGTTTTCTTCTCTCAAATGACATATAAACAAAATAATTGATTATTTTTTATTTACTTCATATCAATATCTATTTGTAAAATATCTGACATTTTATTCAATGATAATTTATATTGTAAACTGGCACAATAGCCAAATGGTCTCAAAATTGTGTTTTATCTAAAATTATAAATAAATTATTAAATAAAATAACACAACCTAACTTTCCTATAAATGGTCATTGAACATAAATCTGTACTGAATCGATAGAAAAGTTTTCAAATTAGTTTCATTTTGGTTATACAGTATTCTTAATTCATTTGAAATGCCTGATAAACAAAATAGTATTGAATATAATTTTAATGAATGCAAAGAAATCATATTTAAAAATGTTTGCATCAATCGTATTGTCGTATTAATATTTATTTTTGTTAATTGCATTCAAGACATTGTTTGTATTTGTTTTCTAATACAAAATCTTTTGGAAAGTCTTAAGCAATTCAATAGTGTAGTGATAATACAGAGTCATTGTTAAACATTATATTAAGATTGTCTCAAATATGAAATGAGATTTAGTGTTAGAATTGATAAATAGATATATAAATAAAGCTCATTATCATTGTTAGACATCACCGCGAATTACATACTTCTTGAGTATCATATCATATAATCCTTGAGTATATTTGAAAAATTGGATTCAAATAGAGAATTAGTTTCTAGTATTTGACGGAAGACTCTCTCTTTGACCCCAAATTGATGAACACATCTGTTGTTTAATTAAATGCAAAGACGTTTCACTAATAAAACAGCGATAAAAGCGAATTAGAGTTCACAACACAATTGCTTAAGTGTTTCAAGACTTAAGTTTATATTCTCTTTTCAATTATGAATAAGTAATTTAAATAAAAGCATTGAAAACCATTTGCACAGAATTGCATTCCCTATAACGTGTGTGAACTCAAAAGTAGACCATAAATGAAAAGTATATGAAAGCAGAATAAGATAGCAATTGCAATATAAATGTTAGCTCTTTATATAACACTCTCTCATAATAACAATGACTGCAAAAGTGTTTTCTTTTGATTTCCTTCGAGACCTTAATTCAAATTTGAGACAACATTCAGATCGATATTATTAACAAAGTTATCATTAAAGCGATTACACAACCATTTTATATAAATTCGTTTCCATAATAAATATTTAATTTTACTTTTCCTAAAAATACTGTAAAAGAGACAGAGTTGAGAGAGAGAGAGAGAGAGAGAGAGAGAGAGAATGATAGAGCGTGAGGGGGTTAGGGGGCAGTTGTATTGGCTATTGTCTCAGTGCGTGACTCCCATAAAGGCTTTATTTCATTTCTCTAATTATTTGTTCACTACTTTATAATTATTAAATATTTCTCTCGTATTCCTCCAAATAATGAATAGTTTATGAATTCCGTGTAATTCTCGTGTAATTCTGTATATGGAATATATACTATACTGTATATTATAGTTATATGTATGGAGCGTTCACTTATACCCATACGTTTTATTTGCATTTCTCATTAATTGATTTTCAATTGTTTCAACTATTTATTTGTCGATATAATACAGTAAGCTTATATTGTGAGCTCTAAGAAACTAATAAATATTTCATTAAGAGCTATAATTAATGAATGCCTAATTAAAACAAAATTATTTATATTTATAATAAGCACTGATTCTGCGAAATTATATTGAATCTGAATTTAAGTAAACTTAAATGAGAACTAATTTAAATATAAAGAATTCTTAATAGTATTTAAATCTCTGAAATATTCATTTAGTTTTTAGGACAACATAGAGATTATTAGTAGTTGAATGAATCGTACAGTACTTGTATATTAGATGTAAGAAAATATTTAAATATTAATCTAAAGATGTCTAAATGCTGGAAACTAATTATAATATTAGATTAACTTTATAATCAATGCATTAACTTTACATTCAAACAAATGTCAATTCGAGTCAACGGGAAATGTTTTTATATCAATTTGTGTTTAGAAAAAATATCTTAAGATCTCAAGAAATGACGATATATTTGTGCGAGTTTCATTTAATTGAGTCTAAAATCAAATTATTGACTCTTTCCACTCATTGATAATCAAATGATCTAACATTTAGATGGAATAATTTATGGTGATATTAATTAAGATATGATTATTTATCGATTTTTAAACTCAAAGTTTGTCGATAATTGAAGACTTAATCAGTGATTACTCAATGGATATGTAATTCTCGGTGATATGTAAATGTTGTCTAATCATAAACACTACGTTCGCTCACACTCTTCGGCTATTATTGA